TTTGCCCAGAGGTATTCGAGCGAGCAGCAGGAGTCGAGAAAGGAGAGATGGAGGGGGCATTTAGAAAAGACTGAGGAAGGCTGGTGGAGAAGAAGTGAAGCTGCAAGGAAGGGGAGCCAGAGCCAGAGCGGGGCTCTGCACCAGGCGCCTGCCAGAGAAAGAGGGAGAAGAGGCGGCAGCCACCACTATCACTGCAGCAAAAGGAGGCAGGAAAGAAAGGGGAACCTTCACGCAGAGCTCGCCTTGGCGCAAGTGCAGGAGCAACAACAGCAAGCACCGAGATATGTCGTGTAATTAATAAAGATTGTAAGGTAATAATTGTACAATTGGCTGTTTAAATAATGTTTTTTGGTATTTTGAAAAAAAGCTTCCATTGAATTTATTTTTATTTTTTAACATGCCTGTTTCTTGGTTGGTTCACCAAGAGAAATTTATTGGCAGCTACTGTAATGAAACTGCATTGATTGTGAGTTTAATTCGCAATGATTCAAATAAAACATTCAATACATCCTCCTCTGTCCTCTTTTTTGTCTTTCTCTGTCCCCCTTTTGGTACCCAAGTATCTGGCAACTCTTATCTCCACATGTGAAGGAACTGCAGCTTTCAAAACAAGATAGCCCCTCTGTTTGTGGAGCTTCTCCACATTATTCAGAACCGTGGTAAGACAGAAGATTGTGCATTTTATGAGGAGAGTAGCAGAAATAACAATGGAGGGGTAAGGCTACTGCCATCTCCCTTTGTTATGTGTTTACCTTGGCCAGTTCAGAAATCCATAACTAAAGACACTCTCTCTTATTTCTGTGTCAACACTGGTTTTCCTCAGCAGCCATGTCTTCTCCACTATGTGCTTCTCAATAGAGCACATCACTTTATTACAGTGGTGGGAAAAAATGAGGGGGCAAGACTCCCAAACTATCCAGTAACACATCCTCAGTTGGTACAGAACACTGCATAGCAATTAGAACTGAAGGGAAAGAGAAGTCAAATAGAGTGGATAGAAACATGCTGTGGATGGACAAAGGAGTGTTTTGCTGCATGAACCTGTCATGGATACTACCCATACAGTCATTTTCGAAATCCTCTAAACCAGAGATCTGCCACATCTTAGGGAAATGAATTCCGTAATTTAATTATGCATTGTGTGAAACACAAACAAATTCCATCTTTTCTGCAGCTACTGGTTATCAGATTAATTGCATGAGTTTCTGCATTAAGAGAAATCATTCTGTCTACTCAAAACCATTATTGTGTTTTCAGTTATAAACCGTTTCAGCAGAACAGAACAATATAATTGTTCTCCATTTATCTTTTTAGTAATATTCTTCACTTTTACATCACTCAATTTCTCTTCCACATTTAAAATGCCCCTCTACTTTTCCATTCTTCACCTTATTTTAGTTTACATAACCTTTCTGATCTCCCTTCAAATTAACCCCCTAATTTTCATCATAGTATCTTATTTTAAAAGCAACAGCAGAATAGGTATCTTTATACCTTGGATTCTTTCCTCTAAATAGAAAACTCAGATTGCTGTGAAGGAAGGAAGTGCTAATGTCACCAAACCACCTCATTTTCCTCACCAAAAGCAAAGCGTGCTGCTTACAGTATATACCACCCCATAGTGCTTCAAGCACTCTCTGGGCGGTTTACAAGTTAATTATGCAGGCAACATATTGCGCGCACGCACGCACGCACGCACGCACACACACACACCAGCGAGCTGGGTACTCATTTTACCATCCTTGGAAGGATAGAAGGCTGAGTCAACCTTGAGCCAGCTACCTGGGATTGAACCCCAGGACGTGAGCACAGTTTTGGCTGCAGTACAGCAGTTTAACCACTGCGCCACGAGTATCAATCCAAAAGGATTCATACTACTTGTAAGCTGGAAGGAAAGCTACTACCCTCAGTACTCGTACTCTGTTAGAAGCTTTCACAGCAGGACCTTTGTGCATACTCCAAGCACAAACTGAAGACCAGCACCAATATATCCTACATGGAGGAGCAGATGTTGCTCCAAGCGTCTGCCCAATTTGCAGCAGGCAAAACAGCAAAGGGAAACAGGCAAGTGGAATGACTGAAATATTGGTTAGAGGTTTTATAAAATTGGGCTTATGACAGATGCAAAACCTAATACGTACTGTATCTTAACCTTTGACCAAGTGGCAGCTAATAGCTTATTCCTTAGTGAGACTGTGGTTTTGGGAGCAAATACTCTACTTGGTCCACTGCTGCAAGAAGGTGATTAAACTGTTAGGGGTCTCTTTTAAGAAATTCTGTGAATGCTATATATTTTGTGTGCTACTATTTGTATTCGTTATTAGAGTTCTTGGCTGATTCTGCTGATCCCCTGGCTCTTTTTATTGTTTGCTTGAAAACATACAGACACAAATGACTTGATACCCTTTAACTTGATTTTAAAAAAACCCAAATATACCATGTGTACATAGTGTACAAAATGCGGCACTGTAGAGATATTTAAGAAATAACAGTGTACCAGGAAAAGACATACACAAGAAGAGCTGCATGAGTCATAGGCAGCGAAGTGAAAGCAAATTTAAACATTGTGGGCTGGCTGGCAGGTCCGATGGTGTCCCTGCCTGACTGCCGTCCATCCCCATAGAGAAAGGAGCGAAACCAGCAGAACTCTGACTGGAAAGAGCAAGGTAAAAAGAAAAGTGACGACCTCTGCTGGACAAAGAGAGGAACAGGTAGAAGAGGAGAAGGCCGGAGAAGTAGTAAAGGAAGTAGCTGCACAGTTAGAAAAGTCAGGAATGAAGGATGAGGGGGAAAGGGTATATAAAGGGGAAGATTCAGGGGGAAAGGGGAGTAGTGGAAGAGAGATAAGCAGAAGTGGAACGAAAGAGAAAGGTCCTTGCCCCCGGAGGGGAATGAATCTGGTTGGAAAATCCCTGGAGCAACAAGTGGGAAAGATTTAAGGTACCCAGGGAAGAAACAGAAAAGAGGAGCCATGAGGTAGTGCCCGAAAGCCAGGCCTTCTTATTGGGGAGAGAAGGAGGGAAGAGAGTGGGGATGGGAGGAGAGAGCCAAGAGAGAGAGAGAGAAAGAGAAAAGTATCAGAAGGCCATCTGGTAGAATCAGACTGGGACCCAGAGATGCGAGACCCAGAGCCATGGGAGATCCAGGAGTCAGGAACCCGACACCCGGTTTGAAGTCCCAGGAAGAAAGTAGATGTCCTTGCTGCCAATTCAAACAAATCCGACACTAATGGACTCTAACCTGGAAGCAGGGTATATAGACAGTTGATCTTATGGATAATCTGTTTGTGACTCAAGACTACAATCCCTTCCTCACAACATTCATTACCTTAGGAAGAGAAGTTGTTGTTTTTGGATTTGCGAGAAGTAAATGTTACCTTAGGAAGAGAAGTTGTTGTTTTTGGCTTTGCGAGAAATAAATGTTGAGGTAAAAGGTAACGGTAAAGGTTCCCCTTGACATTTAGTCCAGTCGTGTCTGACTCTAAGGCGCAGTGCTCATCCCCATTTCCAAGCTGTAGAGCCAGCGTTTGTCCGAAGACAGTTTCTGTGGTCACGTGGCTGGCGTGACTAGACATGGAACGCCTTTACCTTCCCATCATGGTGGTACCTATTTATCTACTTGCATTTTTACATGCTTTCGAACTGCTAGTTTGGTAGGAGCTGGGACAAGCGACGGGAGCTCACTCCGTCACAAGGATTCGATCCTACAACGACTGGTCTTCTGGCCTTGCAGCACAGAGACTTCTGCGGTTTAATCCGCAGCGCCACCACGTCCATGCAAGGGTTGAGAGTTTGTCATTAATCACCAACCTAAAGACAGAAATATGTT